TCTGCATCTATTGAGATGACCATGTGATTCTTGTCTTTGAGTCTTTTTATATGATTTATAATGTTTATTGACTTACAATTGTTGAACCATTCCTGCATCTAGAATAAAGCTGACTTGATCGTGGTGGATATATACAGTGATAATTTTAAAAATAAACATTTTAGGTCTGGAGGGATGGCGCAGCTGTTAAAGCCTAAGGCTAACAACCAAAATGTTAAAAACATACGTTTTAATTAAACAATAAAGACAGACCAAGTATATAACTGTGAATTGCAGCCCTTAATCACGATGGTCATAAAATCCAACAAAGATTTGATGTGCAGAAATTCTTTGTGTCTCCTTTGACTTCATAGGGAATAGGAACTATTCATTCTCACATTCTCTATTGGGACATTATAATATAATGCATTCTAAGCAATGTTCTAGGCTGTATCGCATGGCGATGTCTAGCATGGTAGGCAGGGATTTCGTTTTTGTCATACCTTGTACAACCTTGTCTCTGGAAACACCTTAATGAGCAGAAGGACACACCACCAGTCATCACCCTGAGTAAACAATCAGACTGCCAGTACCTTCCTGATCACCAGTTCTTCCTCCAAGTGTCTGTTGAGCCTAGATGTCAGTTCCGAAATGCCCTGTGAGCTGCAGCGGTCCTTGCTGTCCTTGGCTACTGTCTCTTACTCCTTCCTCTGAAATTTGAAAATTTGTATAGAATACCATGTCCAGAAATTTCTCCTATACTGAGATTCACATGCTTAAATGTCCTTTGGATTTCAACTACTCTTCTTGCATATATTGGGTTGCTTATCAGTGTTTGTGGAACAGTCATTCCCAGACCCCCAAGGAAGTCTATAGCACTCAAGCATGTTACTTTTTAGTGAGTAACAATAAAAGAAACAACTTCATATATCCCTAAAGATGCATATTTTTGTTTTCATTTGTTGTTTTTATTTTATGTGTGTAAGTGTTTTACCTGTATGTGTGTAAGTGCACTCGTGTTGTGCAATACCCTTGGAGATAAGAAGAAGATGTCAAATTCCCTGAAACTGGAGTCATGGACGGTTGTTAGCCACCATGTGGGTGCTGGGAATCCAACCTGGGTCCTCTTGGAAGAGCAATCAGTGTTCTTAATAACAGAGTCATATCTCCAGTTACAAGATGCATATTTTTTAAATATATATATATTTAGCCCATATTTTGTTGAGTCCATATATTTGGAAACTATAGTTATAGAAGACAAATGTATATGGAAAAAAAACTTTATAATTGACAGTTGAAGTGAAAAAAGAAAAAACTAAGTTAGATGTAATGAGTAAATTCCATGTGGATTCACACATCCCAGGACAGAATTTTAGAACAAATTTTTTCAGGTATTATAGCTAAAAACTATTCTTGACCTAAGGAAAAAAGTACCAGAGAAACACTAACAAAGGTAGAAAACTTACGAGAGGGCCAGGTTAAGGAGACTGAAAGACAGAACTTAAGAACGAATGTCGAAGCCCTTGAGAAATTATTTAAATTTTTTAAAAGAACTAATTCATTTGTAATCTTGTGCTTTTTATGCTCATCCACTATTCTGTTTCCCTCTTAGGAACAGAAACAACTACTCCAGGAAGGATTCCAAGAAGAAAGCAGAAGACTTCAAGAAGAGATGAGGAATGTGGAGAGGAGACACAAAGAAACAAGTACTATCTTCTGCATGATTACTAGAACATAAAAATTCCTATAACAGGGCTGGTAAGATGACTTAGTGAGTAACCGCACTTATTGTGAAGCCTGGAGACGAGTTCAGTCCTTGGAACTCAGCTGGAAGCAGCTGACCTCCACACATGTGCAGTGATGCATATGTGCCCCTGCCTGCCCCCAGACATATGCACCATAATTGTTAATAATTTTTAAATCCATAAACAGAGGTTTCCCTTACCATACTCTCCAGTCAAGGAATAACTTTAATGATGAATTTAGAACCTCCGACAATTGCTGCTGCTCCACATTTGAAGTCAGGACACTTGTATTCCTGATGAGTCACAAGTTGGCAAAATGAACTTACTTATAAAACCGTTAAAAAGCATCCTTATTTTCCCCATTTCTCCCTTGATAATACCAGTCTTCTATGGTCCCATCTCTCTTGAATTCCTTCTTTCCCTTTATTCCCAAAGTTCCTTATATATCCCTCCATTTCCCCTCCTACTTAAATACCCCCATTTTATCCATTTCTCCCGTAGTAACACCTGTCTCCTACTGTTCTCAGGCTCCTTCTTTCCCTTTACCTCCTTGGTTCCTTATCCTGGTTCCTTTCTTTTCATCATTATCTATACTACTAGTGCTCAGCATGATCTTTATAGGTTTTTGTAACTGAAATCATAAACATCTTCTAGAGATATTGTACATTGTGTAATTCAGATGCACGTTACAATAGAGAACTATCGGCCAACTTCTGAAAGCAGACTTTTCTTCTATGTCTGTATAATACTTTTAGAGTCTTCAACCCCATGCTCTTACTTGAGGGTTTGTGTGTGTACTAAAGAGTTAATCAACTCTAGGCACAATTGAATATCACTCCTGCCCAATAGTCCATAGACCACATAAGATTCCATTTAAAGGAACATCCTTATTAGACACAAATGTCAGAGAACAATCATTTTAGTGTGTGCCTGATGTATAGTTAACAATTGTTATATGGATTGACACTTGGACACTGAATTCAAGGAGAGCTGGCATCTATAGAAATATACATGAGAGAAGGTTCAATCACCTCCCTACGTATGAGCTTGTGAGTAATTAGTGGTTATCCTCAGATACAGGTCACCTTGGAACAAGAATAGCAAAGATGAGTGAACCTTCCTCAAACCATGTCTCAGAGTGATATATCAGAGGAATTATGGTCCCTCCAAAAGACACATTGGTGCCACAGAACTTCATGCATCCAATAGCAACCTAAAAAACAGGTGTTGGAGAACAAAGGAGGTAATATGGCGATCCTTCACATTTTTGTCTCCTTTTTTCACCACAGTGGATCGTATGACAGCTGAATCTTCACAGACTACAGCAAGAATGATGGAGGAAATGCAAAGGAAGTACGAGCGGATGTTGGAAAATAAAGACAGGTCTCATGAGAAATATGTGCAACAGTTGACTGAGAAGATGGAATGGGAAAGAGCTCAGCTAATGGAAGAGCAAGACAGGGCTATGGCCTTTAAGCTTCAGGTAATTCATTACATCATCCTAATTTTCTCATCCAATGGCCAGGGATAAAAGACACTAATTACAGATGGGTACACTTGGCCTCAAGGACTGTGGTAGTCAGACACTCTGCGACAGTTTTCATATCCTTCATGTCTCTGTCACCACAAATCTGCAATTGTTAAAAACTTCTTACCAATAGACTATGCTCCACAGAGTCTACATTATTATATAACTCACTCTACAGTAGCTATTACTCAGAAGTCCTATGCAAAATCTTTTATATGTGTTACATATTTCTGTTACATATTTGCAATCTAATGGCACAGAAACTGTTATCTTTTCAGGTACAAATTATGGTGCACAAGAGATGAATTGTTTTGTGTTGTATCATATGGGAAATATTCATCCTACCTAGTGAAATAAATAGTGATTTTTGTCTTTACCATACCAGCTCTGATGGTAGCTCTGTGGGCATCCTGATGAGTGGGAAAACTATCTGTTGGAGGACACTGGATCAATGTCCTCACTACTATTGCCTTCCTTTCTCTGGGAGAGTCTATGTCAGTGAGGAAGTGCCCTCTGGATGCTATAGTCCTGATACCCTCAATTTTCTTCTCTTATCAGTAACAATCCCACCAGAATTTTGTAGACCTATACTGATTTTCATGATCAGACTGTTGCTCTCCTTCTTAGCATCATGGACTGCCCACTGGCAGTCATTCTGAGATGAATATCCCCATTATACACATGGAAAGTGGGGAAAGAAGTGTAACAATTACACACAATTGTCATGTCACGTGTTAGATCAAGGATCCCAAAGGAGAAACTCTACAGCAACAATATTTCAAGAACTCCATGAATAAACCTCTTCTGAAGATAGTAAAGACATGCTAAAGATAGAGCAATCACAGGCGCCTCAAGAGAAAGTACCATAATAGAAGTCAGGACAGGAGACTGACTTAGAGAGTTTCACACCTGATTGCAAGATTAATTTAAGAAAAAAAGGTGCCGATTTGCTTATTTCTGTGAAGTTCTTTTATGCCACACCACTTTAATTTTCCTCTTTCTTTTTTAGGAGCAAGAATTACAACTGCAGAAGAAACTCTCAGAAGAAAGAAGAAAACATCAAACGGAGATTGAGGAATTAGAGAGGCAAAGCAGAGAGACAATCCTGAAATGTATTAGAATCTAAACATAAACAGTCACAGTTAACCTGCCCTGCATTCTGTCACGAGGGCTCAAGGGCAACCATCAGCTTCCATGCTGAAAACAATTGCATTAAGTTATCATGTTTGCACGTGCACTGGTCCATAAACATTGAAAAAATGAAGTTAAAGTATAAAGGAAATCAGTTGCTTACTAAAGCTATTCCTTCCACGCTCGTTACTAAAGCTGTCTGTTTTATTCTTATATAAGCTGCTAGTGATTTTAAGCATGGTGCAGACTGCATATGAGGTCATGGACATTTCCTCTACAGAAAATATAAATTTCGTAATAATATATGCTTTACGTAAGGAGCTGTCCTGTAGTCTGTTTAGTCTGGCAGACTTTTCCTTCCTCATCTAAACAATACCTCTAGACTCATGCTCTGATTTGAGGGTTTACTTGTTTTTACTTTTGGGTGGGATACGAATATTATGAATAAGGAGAAAATCAGATGCCTAAAAAGCAAACACTTTAGGTCCAACTGAGCCTCACTACTAAGGGGCAAGTAATGTTTCAGCTAACAGTAAAGGAGGATTTTCTTTTTGAATTTTACACTTCATTATACATTAGTTGTACAGAATAACGGTCTTGTCAGATTACCCTTGAACAGCTAGTCATCCACCAAGCCTAGCTTTATCGTGGAGAAGCTACAGGGTGTGTGGGCAAGAGAAGGCTTGCCCCTGAGAAGTGTGGATATGTAAAGGGAGGTTCCAGCTTCTCTGGCCTTAAAGTTCGAGGCTGTTTACTCCCTACTTCTTGGTGCTGGCTTAGTTACATCAGGTTTTCAAACTACAGCAAGAACAGCAACGCGGTATCTGAGCATGAGAAAATATGTCAGAAGAACTCTGGTCAGTGCCGAAGAGATACTGGCTCATCTACAAAGTGACAGCATGAATAGACGTTTGAGGGAGGAGAAGCTACATGGTAATTCTACATCATGTTTTCTTCCTTTTTATTCTCAGTGGAATCCGCACAAGCCAAATCTGCACAGATCACAGTAAAAATGCTGGAGGAAACGAAGAAGAGAAATCAGCAGGCCATGGAAGAGAAAGAAAAGATTTTTGAGGATCATGTGAGACAATTAACTAAGGAGATGGACAGGAATACAGCTAGGCTAATGACAGAGCAACGAATGATTTTGGATCGTAAGCTTCAGGTATTTCTTTATGTCATCTGTTTTCTTATCCAATGACCATGGATAAAAGACACTGGTTCTAGGTTGGTGTAATTGGTCTGGGTAAAGCACTCGTCGGGCCACACACCTCTAGGCATTTTTATTCCCTTTACATTTCTATCTCTGTTAATTTGCCATTATTAATGACTTCTTATTAAAAACAGAGTACGCTCCATGGCCCCTGAATCATTACATCACTCAGAACATAGAAGCAAATAATTCAAAGACCTACCCCAATGTTTTAAGTGCATTAAATACTGTATCTTTGATGGCACAGAACTATTCTATTTTATCTGCTTGTTTGCTTGTTTTAGATAAGGCTTGTTTTAGATTGTAGCTCAGGCTAGACTTGAGCTTAAGATCCTCCTGCTCAGTATCCCATGTCTGATATAACAAGCATGTAACCACCACTCAGCTTTATTTTTTTTTTCCTACTGAGGAAACTATGATTTGTAAGAAAGCAAACTGCTGGGATATAAGTCCTGGCTAAGCAGCCAAGAAGGTCTTTCTCACCTAATATAGACCATAGTGGCTTTGGTTTTGCCGAATTCTATAGGTCTTATCTCTGAAAACACACCAATAAATAGTTTCGACTAACTACAGCCACTTAACCTAGCACTGACTTTAAGCATTTTTCTATTTTCAGGGCTTTATCTGAGTCTATGAGAAAACACTATGAGTGCCTACATTCCCAGAACACCTCAACATTTTGTGCTTGCTGCTTCTACCTAAATTTTACAGGCCTATGACAAATCCCCAATCATGTGTCTTTCCTGAATCTAGAAACTCACACAGTACACTTCCACATGTAAATGTACTAGTCCATTTATATATATGTGTGTGTGTGTGTATGTGTGTGTATGTGTATGTGTGTGTTTGTGTGTGTGTATGTGTATAATATTCATAGCACATGTTTAAAAACTGGAAAGATAAGATATTTTTGAGGGACTGGAGAGATGGCTTTGTGGTTAAGAGCACTGGATACTCTTTCAGAGGACCCAGATTCAGTTCCCAGCATCCACATCCCAGCATCCACATCCACAACTATCTGTAACTCCAGTTCCAAGGGACCCAACACCCTTTTCTGACCTCCACAGGTATTGTACATCATGGGTGTGCTTACACACACTCAGGCAATTCATTCATCAAATAAAAGTAATAAATAAAATATTTAAAATATATAGATGTATATGAAAGACAAAATTCTCAGACTTTTCTAAATATGAGATAAAAGGCTCCATATAGAATAATAGGGCAATACTATGAGAGGAACTATAGAAAAACCATTCTCAATCCTAAACTAAACAAGAAAGCTTTGAAAAGCTATGGGGGATCATTTTTTTAGAAATGAAAATGTGGACTGGAGAGATGGCTCAAAGGGAAAAAGCACTTGCTGTGCAAGTGCAAGGACATGTGTTCTAATTCCCAGAACCCATGTATAGAGGGATGGAGTGGCACAGCTTATTTAATCCCAACCTTCCCGTGGGGAGGTGGAAGGCAGAGACAAGCGCATCCTTGGACCCTCACAGGCCAGCTAGCCTGGTACGTGCAGCAGCAAACAACAGAAGAGGGACCGTGTCTCAAAGTGGAAAGTGAGGACCAACACCCCATTGTCCTCTGACCTCCACATGCACACTGTGTCACCCACGCACACACATTTACACACACAAATGTGCACACATAGCCTTCACATACACAATACTATGCTGAAAGGTTACCCAATCTCAAGTGCTCAGCCCTAAACACATGCACATACAAACACCACTGAATTGACTCAGTGCATTGCGTAAGTGCGTGTGTGTCTGTATGCCTGTATGAGTGTGTGTGTGTGTGTGTGTGTGTGTCTGTATCTATGTGTAACAACAATCATCAAAGACGAAGACCAAAAATTGAGAGGGAGTGGAAGGGATGTGGGAAGAGTTAGAGGGTGAGACATGGAGAGGCAGAAATGATTCAATGCTCATGTATGAAATTCTAAAAAAAAAGTTTTTTTGTTAATTTAGTGTTTTTTAAGATAAATTTTAGCTGGGTGTGGTGGTACACAACTTTAATCCCAGCACTTAAGAGGTAGAGACAGGTGAATCTCTATGAATTCACGGCGAGCCTGGTCTACATAGAGAGCTCCAAGCCAGCCAGGGTTGCATAGTGACATCCTGTCTTTAAAAAAAAAGATACATTTTTAAAATTTAAAAAGGAAATTTGACCAGTTTTGAAGAAAATATAGCTATCCAAGTTGTGTTTTTATCCACTGTTTGTTAGTAGTACATTACGGCTTTCCCACATGTGCATATATAGAACTTGGATGGCAGTCACACCTTCTGTCAGTCTTTGCTAACTCTCTTCCCTCCTCCTTCCCCTCCCATTCTGCATCTCTAGTATTCCCCGTTAGCTTCATGTCCTTCTCTTCACCCTTAGATTTCACTTGAAACTAAATAGTTTTCACTTTGAGTCTGGCTTATTTCACTTACAATGATCTTCATTTACATCCATTTTCTGAAAATCCTGTAATTTTTTTCTTGTTTAAACTTGAGTGGCATTCAATTGTGTATATATACCAAATGTTATAGTACTCACACATTTATCTGCTGAAGGACACCTAGGCTGATTGTATAATTTGGCTATTGAGGACAGCGCTATAGCAAACATGGGAATGCAGGTTTCTCTGTAGTAGGCCAACTTTGACTTTTTTACATATATACCCAGAAGCAAAGTAGCGTGATCATATGGAAGTTCTCTCTTGAATTTTTTATAAGCCTGCATGCTGATCTCTATATTAGCTGCTCTAATTTACAGTGCGTAGGGGTTCCTTTCCCCTGAATCTTCACCAGCATTTGCTGGTGTTTGGTTTCTATTGTTGTTGTTGTAATTGTTTTATGATAGACATTTGGTTTGGGGGTGATGTTATTCTGTACAGACTTTAGTCTCCAGTTTCTTTTTTCAGGAACAGGAAGACATTTTCAGAAACAAAATCAGGAAACGTAACAAACGATATCATGATGAAATTATCAATATCAAAAAGAGAAGAGAGAAATCTGGATGCTCCTTGATGTGAAAAGTTAAAACACAATGACTTCCTTGCCGGCGCACTCATTTCAGGACAGAATTTTGCTGCTAAACTTCAGAACTTCTCACACTTTAAACCTAATATAATCCAAAATAGTGGGTTTTTTTAATCTTTCAAAGCTTAAGTGTCTATTAACTGTACGACATGGGGGATATCATTATGACGTGTGTCATTATTCATGTGACGTACTTTGAAATTTTGATGATGCTGAAGTAACTAAAGAAACTCCGTTTTGCTCTGGGTCAGTCCTGATTTGTCCTGGGTCAGTCCTGATTTGTCCTGGGTCAGTCCTGATTTGTCCTGGGTCAGTCCTGATTTGTCCTGGGTCAGTCCTGATTTGTCCTGGGTCAGTCCTGATTTGTCCTGGGTCAGTCCTGATTTGTCCTGGGTCAGTCCTGATTTGTCCTGGGTCAGTCCTGATTTGTCCTGGGTCAGTCCTGATTTGTCCTGGGTCAGTCCTGATTTGTCCTGGGTCAGTCCTCGTCCTGATTTGCCCTGGGTCAGTCCTGATTTTCCCTGGGTCAGTCCTGGTTTGTCCTGGGTCAGTCCTGATTTGTCCTGGGTCAGTCCTGGCTCCAGTTGGTCCCTGTTTTGGCATTCTTCCCAGCTACTATCCTCCCCTCAAAAAACATTCAGGCCTTTTCATAAGCCTGACTATCGCCTAGACGTATAACCAAAGCAACTGCTAAAGTCTAACCAAAGTAACGACTGTAGCAAGGTCTCTGTGACCTCCATCTAGTCCAAACTGCCATTATGATTTTTGCGGTTTTTGCCTTTATAAACTCTGTACCCTGAGCTTCAGCTCTGAGAGATTTTTTTTCTGGTCAGTCTCAGTTGCACACTAATCAGTAAAGAACTCATTT